CCTGTCAATTCTCTGACTGTCCTCTACGGCTCATCCATGCTCACCTCACTCCAGCCACATCAGCCTTCTGACTGTTCCTTTTTCTTTCCGGGCAGGCAATGCAGGAAAGACACCTTACTTTTTTTTTTTTTTTGGAGGGGATGGATGCAATTAGGTTTGTTTTTTTGTTTGTTTATTATTATTTTAAATGGAGGTACTGGGGATTGAACCCAGGACCGCGTGCTAGCACTGGGGTGGGGGGAGGCACAAGTATTCAGTCTAGCACTGCCCACAAGTTGCCTCCTCTGGGGGGCCTCCGTGATCACCCCCCCCGATCACCCTCTGCCCCCTTCTCCCTTCTTTATGTCTTCAGGATTCATCATCCCCTGGCCTTACATCCTTACATCCACATTTTAACTCCCTGTTGCCAGCTCCCTCAGTGAGAATGGGAACCCGGGGGCCAGTCTCTACCCCGTTCACTGTTAGAGCCTCAGGCTGTAAAACAGAGAATGCAGTAGGCCCGCAGTGAACCTTCTTTGAAAGGATGATTCTGGAATGAACTTTGGAGTCAGACAGATCTGTTTCCAGTCCCTCCTGTAACTGTCATGTGACCTCGGGCAAGTTATAGTTTCCCCCACTGTCAAGTAACAGGCTTTATAACATCCACCTCGGTGGTTCTGAGAAATTGCAATCATCCGTGAAATTAGAAAATGAGCCCCCAAAACGGTGGCAGTTACATCATTATCCAGTCAGGAAAGGAAGGTTTCAAGTGGAGTCACTGACCAAGTGGAGCCCAGGGTGGGCAGGGGGCCTGGCCTCAGGGTATGAACAGGACAGCAAACCAAGGCCACACAGGCCGGCCAGGGGGCGATCCTGCTTTCACAGGGTCTGGGGAGGTGACAGTCTCTTCAGATGAAGCCTCAGAGCAGCCAGATGTCCAGTTTCCCCTGCCCCAGGAGAGGCTTTATAACCTTGGCCTCTGCGCTTCCCTAAGCTGGAGGGGTCAGGTCCTTGGTCCCAACACTCCTGCCACGCCTGAAGTCAGAACTGGGGAGAGTTTCCTGGCCTGTTTCCTGGGGGAGACGCCAGCCGCTGCTCAACGGCCGCCTTCCTGCCCGCCATCCACGTGCCTGACCCTGTGCTGGCACATAGCAGTCACCAGCCTGAGATGCTCACAGTCCCGCCACGGAGAGCCGGGGACCGTGCCCTAGAGAAACACCTGCGTCAGCCCAGGGGTTCACTGCCAGGGCTGCAATCACCACGGGAGGCCGGCCGTGTGTGCGCTCGGCTGCCTGGGTGGGTATGTGAAAACTCTGTTAGAAAAGCAAGACCCCCACAACCTAAACCCCACCCATAGCCACCCAAAGCCACCATCTCAGGAAGTCTATTTCCTTTCATTCCTTTTTTTAAGAATTCTTTTTGAACATTTAATGTAATTTATCTTTACAGAGCCCTGTTCCTTTCCACTCAGTCGTACTGTAAGCGTTGCCTCCTGTCACTGAGAATTCTCATGCGTCACTTCGGGAACTGCAAACATCCTGTTCTGTGGGTGCATCGTCATTTACAGAGCCAGTTTCTCAACGCGCAACATTCACATGGTCCTCTCTTTTAGTCTTCTGTTTTAAACGAAATTGCAATGCACTTGGCTGAGCTTGAGTTCCTGTTTCTGTTCCAGATTATTTCTCTAGGATTCAGCCTAGGGTGATGCATTTGCCAAATAGCATACCAGAGAATTAAAGGGGCCTTTTTCTTTTAACTGAAGTATAGTCAGTTACAATGTGTCAGTTTCTGGTGTACAGCACAATGTCCCAGTCTTGCATATACATACATATATTCTTTTTCATTAAAGGTCATTACAAGATGTGGAATATAGCTCCCTGTGCTGTATAGAAGATGTTTGTTTTTTTATCTATTTTTATATGTAGTAGTTAACATTTGCGAATCTCATACTCCCAAATTTATCCCTTCCCATCCCCTTTCTCCTGGTGACCATAAAATTGTTTACTATGTCCGTGAGTCTGTTTCTGTTTTGTAGATGAGTTCTTTAGTGGTCTGGCTTTTCTTTTTTTCTTTTTTAGATTTCACATACGAGCAATATCATATGGTATTTTTCTTTCTCTTTCTGGCTTACTTCACTTAGAATGACAATCTCCAGGCCCATCCACGTTGCTGCTTTGTTCTTGGCTGAATAGTATTCCGTTGTATTAATATACTACATCATCTTTATCCAGTCATCTGTTGATGGCCATTTAAGTTGCTTCCATGTCTTGGTTACTGTAAATAGTGCTGCTATGAACATTGTGGTGCATGAATCTTTTCAAATTAAAGTTCCCTCTGGATATATGCCCAGGAGTGGGATTGCTGAGAAAATGGGCAGCATCTGGGTAGAAGCTGGAAGGGGAAAATGTGGCCGGATCATTCTGGGGGGTTTCCGGGCAATACCATTGCATTGCACAGCACTTTGGCCACCCTGGGACCGGAGAGGTGGTTCAGAATGTGACACACAGGGACTATGAGGGCAATCATTTTGACCTTGAGACTGGCCAGCACATTCTGACCACAGGGGTCAGATACCCAGGTCTCGCCTGGCCGGGTGCTTTGTCCTGAAAATTTGGTCTGCCAGCCCAGGTCGGTGGACACGTGCTCCCTGCAAGGATGGGAAGGGTGACCGTGCTGGAGAATGCAGACAGGGAATCCCCTCCCCCAGCACCCAACCTGACATGTGATGACACGGCATGCCCGTCACCAAGCCACGTGGAGGTCCTCCTGCCTCACCTCCATGTCCTTCTCTCCCCACTGCTGCCAGCCACTCAGCAGGCCAGCCTGGGGACCTCCTCCTCCAGGAAGCCTTTCCTGAGAACCCACACAGCCACCCTTTCTGAATTTAGTCTTAGACATGGTTGTCATCTGCTACATTGTGCGCTCCTTGAAGGCAGGGGCCTGGCCTTAACTAGCGAGCACTTCTGGAAGGTAGTAGGTGCTAGAGAAAGTTTGCCAAAGGAAAGAATGAATAAACAAAACCGTGATCTTCCCCACTGTCGTGGAATCTGGGAGCCCTGGAGCTGAGTCTGAATGCGGAGTTCCCCCGACAGCAGCCCCGAGCACGTCTTTAGTGCTCATTTGGACACGTGCTCACACAGAGGGTTGGCGGTCTAACTTTTCACCTAAATGCATTGCATCTACTTAATCAAGCCACACCCCTTTCAGCCTAGGGCCGGGCAGGTCCTCAGTGCTCAGCCAGCGTCCACTGGCTTGCAAGTGAGATGGACAGTGGTTAACAAGTGATTCGTTTCTTTTGGGGGGGCCCTTATATTCTGAGACCAATTCTTTCCCAGTGGTAGCTTGAAAGCTACACCTTTCCAGGGTGTGGTAACAACCAGCCATCAAAGGGAAGCAGACACCTCTGACTCTTCTCCTACCCAAAAGGCAAGTTAGTAAACGTCCACTGTCGATGGATTTCTGCATCAGGACTTTGAAGCCAGAGTCTAGAGCAGGAAGAAGAAACTCCAGTGTGAGCCAAGGAGAACCGTGACCACACAGAGGGTTCCTGTTCTCTGCAAACCCGATTCAGACTCACGCAAAGCCATCCCCACCTCCAAGAGCCCCAGGTAAAGTGACTTTTCTGACCCGATCTGTGGGCTCCCTGAAATAGAACGCACTTGGTGTACACAGCACGGAGCAGATCATCCAGCGGCAGATGTGGCGGCCACTGCCTCGCCGGCATCCACACCGTTGTCATGGTGCCGCCTCTCCAAGGACTTCACAACAAACCTGCGCTTCCCTTTGTGACTCTGTGGCTAAAATAACCTTCCTCTCCCAGAGTCCTCTGCCTCCTGCCTGAATTCTTCCCCTTTGCTGGACCAGGAAAACGATGGGAAACAGGAAGTGGGGTGCTCCCTCCAGGACCCCTGAGGCAGGAGGAAAAACCGTTAGAGTTGAATGGGGAAGTGTGAGAACAAAGCCTCGCAGGAAAGATGACAGCTTCCTGGCACAGCATCATCTGAAAACGCAAGAGAAGTCCGGCTCTCGTGGCGACAGGAGGGTGGACTTGTGTCCCTGGGGCCAGCACCTGCCCACCACTCCCTGTCGGCATCTGAGAAACACCACCGGACCCTCAAGGATCCAGCTGTTGCTGGAGTTCTGTGCTCTGTTAACTGGGCCCAAGAGGCCGGCTGGAGCAGAGAGTGTTCCCTGTCGGGAAGGGCAGTCCCTCTGCACTCTGCGACACCCCCAACCAGGCGACTGGCCACCTAGCAGACCTGCAGAATCAGCAGGAGGTTGGCTGCAACCCAGGTGCAGATGCCACAGAGCAAGGCCATTGCCAACCATGGCGACTGGTCGCAGGGTTAGAACGCCCGCTCTGCCCTTACTGGCCACGAGATTTTGACGACTTCCTTGATCTCTCTGGGCATGCATTTATTACTTGTAACTTAAAAAGGGGGAGAAACCTCCCTTTTGCTGCTTTGCTGTAGGGTTAAATGAGACAGAGTAAGTGACAAGGTCCCCCGTGCCTGCCGCCTCTAAGTCCTCCTCCTGCCCCCTCCTCCAGCTGCGGCTGAGCCCCCAGGACCTCCCAGGATACTATTCCCACACCTGGAATTTGAGAGCATCACCCACCTCCCTGGTCCCTACCTTCCCATCACTCCGTGGGAGGTGATGACTTCCCGAATTGGGAGCGGGAACAGCCCCTCCCTTTCCTCTCCCTCCCTGCATCCACCAGCTCACAGGAAGCATCTGTGGTCCCTGCACCTGGCCGTGTGGCCTTAGCCCTGACCTGGTGGCAAGGCCTGCAGTGGGGTGGCCACGTAGGGGGATCGGAAGCCCCAAGTTGTCAGCCCTTGAGCCTTCTGCTGCCATCGCCCACATCAGCTCTCAAAAGATCAAAACCCAGGTTTTAGACAGTGTCGCAGATGTAAGCAGGCATCTGGAGAGAAAGCAGAACCAGAGAGAAGTGAGCACTGCTGGGCGGACCGAGCTCTCTGCCTGGAACGCTTGTACTCTTATCTGTGCAGCAAACTCCTATGCATCCTTCAAGGGCCAATCCTCATACACCCTCCCTGGGAAGCCTTCTCTTACACCAGCAGTTCTCAACCCTGAACGTGCATCAGAGTCACCTGCAGGCCCAAACCCACCGGCTGCTGGACCCCAGCCCTGGCGATTCTGATATAGGAGGTCAGGGGTGAAGCCCCAGAGTGTGCATTTCTAACAGGCTCCCAGGAAACACTGTGGTTCCAGGGACCGCACTTTGAGAACCTTGGTCTTGCAACATCCCCACCTTCCTCAATATGCCCAACCTTCTCCTCTGTGCCAGTTCTGACCTGGGTGGTGGTTCTGGCCATGCTGAAGGCTCCCTACCCTGGAGTCAGTCACATGATGCGACCTGAACAAATTCAGCTCCACACATCTGGATGGGGCGGGGCATAGACCTTCCCCGTCCACCATGCCCCTTGGTGGACTTGAACTTGAGGGAAGCCTGTGCTGGGAGGCTCAGTTGGTGAAGGCTTGGGGGGTCTTGCCCCTCTGCCCGGCTGGCCTGACAGGACTGCTTGCAGGGCTCCAGGTGTGTCGGTTTGGGGATAGGGTCCCTACACACAAGCCAAGAAACTCACCCCAAGTGATTTGCGTCCAATACCTCCTGTACCGACCCAGCTCGCCCAGGCTCCCCACTGGGCAGGGCCCTGCAGGGTTACAAGCGCCAGCTCCAGGCTCCCCAGGCTGGGACAAAAGAGACTCTTGACCCTCACGTTAGCTGTCCAACGCTGGGAAACCAACAGCACTTTTCTGAGACTCAGTTTCCAAATCTGGAAAAGGAGACTCATAATAACTGCTACCAAATGGACTGTCACAGGGACTCCTTGAGTCAAAAATACATTAAGTGCTAAGAACAGTATCTGGCACGGGGTAAGCGATTACTAACTGTTCTTAAAAGAAGACATAGCTGTCCCTTCTCAGCCCGGCTGCGTGGGACAGGCTGACTTCTTAGGAGATGCTGTCTTCCCCTGGAAGATTCCTGGCACCAGTCCTAGGGCTCCTGGCGACCATCCACGCCGGCGTAAGCCAGATGCTGCTCCATCTTACAGAGCTGTGAGGCACTCAGTGATGGCATGAAGTTCAGAACGCCAGTCTCTGGATGCACTCATTCGCATGCGCACATTACTCCTGCAACCACGCGTACAGTCAGTGTTTACTGAGTACCTACTGTGTGCAAGATACCAAGTCACAGGCTGCACTTCACCCCCTGAACTGCAGAGTCCAGCACCCCTGACCCCCTCCTCCTGCTCCTGCCACAGCCTCCCTCCCCCTGTCCTGACGCCTGGGGGGTCCTGCTCTGTCTCTTGAGACTTGAGACCTTGTTTCCTCCTGTCACCCACCTCCAGGCTCTGTGCAGGCTGCGTAGCCCCAGCCCAGTTCCCCTCCTCCTGGCCTCAAGCTCAGGGCCCCTGCTTCCTCTCCTCGAGGTCCTTCCTCGCTTGACAGCCAGCTTCTTATCAGAAAGAGGCATCTGGCAGGTGCTCTGGGGAGAATGACCTCATCGCAGGATAATTAAAGTGATTATCTGAGCGGAAATGACTATTATGAGGCAGACTTCTCTGTTTTAATATGCGTGGCTGCCGAAATGGGGACGTGAGATTTCCATGTTAACACGAATATTTCCATGTTCTAATCAATCCTTCCTCTCACACCACCCCCCAGGGAAGAGAGGAGACGTTCTGTGCTGTTTCCTGCTCTCTCGGACATCCTAGCCTTCTGGCCAGACCACTGAGCTGTGGAAAAATTGACTTAGTAACTTGGATAGCGCCACAGGGCAGGCCTTCCCGCAGAGGAAGGATGCAGAGGCCTGTGGAGGGTCTCAGGGAGGGGTCTCTGGACAGGAGCCCTACTGGGCAGGGTGTCGTCCGGGGAGAAGAGAGAAAGTACCCCTAGAGGTGAGAGCACAGGGTTAAGACCCAGCCTTGAGCTCGGCCACTGGGCCAGCCTTGTGACTGTGGGCACGTCACGCTCTGAGCCTCCATGTCCTACCTGTGAAATGGTCTAATACTACCAGGCACCTTGTGGGATTGTTGTGAAGGCTACTTGATATACTAGATGGAAGCAACTAAACCAACACCCGACACCGGCAGACACCCCACAGATGGTCTGTTTTTACCATCAATGTGAGAAAAGCTGAGGCCCAAAGAGGACGGTGACATTGTACTAAACACAGCTGTGCCCACCACCATCAGGGCCCCCTAACAGGTGTCTAGTGAGCATCTTCAGGTGCAGGTAGGGCTGTTGGTCAGGGATGCAGCAGAGATGGATGTAGCAGGGATGCAGCAGGGATGTAGCAGGGATGCAGCGGGGATGCAGGAGGGATGCAGGAGGGATGCAGGAGGGATGCAGGAGGGATGCAGCGAGATCTCTCATGCAGTCATGGTCCTGGAGATGCCATAATGGTGTCTGACAGCCATCACGGGGATTCACGTGATGCTCTCCACCAATGCTCAGTGGCCAAGCAGAGCCTGGCCTGCTCTGTGCACCCCCGCCAGAGGGCTGTCTGTGCACCAGGCTGTTTCCTGTCTACCCTGGGCCGGTGCGCTGAGCTGCTCTCAAGTGATCAGAGGTGCAAGCTCTGCTGAGACACTTCGCGGTATGAGCAGCTGTCCTCTCTCCCCTCAGGCTCTCCTGCCCCGTTCACAGAGCCCAGCCCCGGGCTCGCCTCCAGTGAGACGGACATCGCCATCATTGCAGGTACACTGTCCTGGGGCCCCTCAAGCAGCCGGGAGGGTCAGAGGAAATGCTCAGGGGAGAAACCGCTAGGGCCCGTGCTCTCCTTCCTCCAAAGGTGGTTTAAATGTGGACTGGAGGACTCTGGCTCTGTAAGAAGATGTCCATCACGGTGTCCTGGTGGGTAGGAAGCCAAGGCACCCACATCCAGGCCTGTCAGGGCCCTAGACCCACAGGGATCAGGGGCTGGAGGGAGAGCCGCTCAGGTGCAGGAGGGGTGGGTTGAGGTCGGGGCAGGGGAGCTGACCCAGGCTCCCTGACTTCTCCTCCGTCCCCCTCCTGCCACGTTACTCCTGCCCTACATCTCACGCCCCTGTGCCTCCAGCCTTAAGGAAATCTGCCCCTGCCCTACTCTTGCTTCGAACCCTGTCCTGGGGCCCACTGATCACGGCTGTGACCCCAAACTGTGTTTCAGGAACGACTAAGTCTGGGGATGTCACCTGCTGCTTCCTTCAGAGAGCCACACTTCCCACTAGCTCATTAACAGCCCGGAGAGATTTACAATTAAACATAGATTTTAAAAAGCAGTCGGTCACAAACCCCTGTTTGGTTCTACTTCACCTGACATTCTTCAGATCGCTGGACTGCTGAACCTTCTTTTCCTCAGACAGATTATGATCATGCAGACAGAAGTGTTCCCCTGACGCGGGAAGTTTAGGAGACTGTCCCACAAAGCTGGGACTTGGGAGCAGCTATCACCTCTGCGTGCTCTCCGCAGCCGCTCCCCGAGCGAACCAACTTCCTAAGTCAAGGCTGTGGGTTTGCTCTATGGCTTCAAAGCAAGCACCTGAATTTTAAGCCCCCCACGATGAGAGTCCTACCGAGACTCTTCCGCCCCCTCACCCTGCGCGCCATCACTCCCAGGCCCTGAGCGACCCGGTTCTGCTGACTGCCTGCCCCGCAGACCCGCCCTCCCAGGAGCGCGGGGAGCCCAGGCCGGGCGCACACACAGCCGCACGTCACCTGGCCTCTCAGCACTGCGGACAGCGCTCGCTTCCTCCCCCTGCGAAGTGCCCACAGGGCGGCCAGCTCAGCCCAGTCTTCCCAGCAGCCCTTTCCCTGTTTTAGCTCTTCAAGTCCCCTGCCTCCCCCAGGAGACCCCTCAGCTGCGATGGTCCTGGTTTCCAAACTGAAAGTTCCCGTCCCGCTCACCCCTCACTTTTAGGCGAGCCCGTGAGCTGCACCTTGTGGATTGTGCTTGCAGGTCTGCCTTCTTTGGTGGACCACGAGGACCTGGGAGCAGGAGTCAGTTCTGGGGCGCTCTTCCAGCCTGTCTGGGGCAGCTGGGTCAAGGGAGGGAGGGGAGGCAGGAGAGGGGAACCTGGACAGGCACAGGTGAGGGGTGGGCACACACTGGGCAGGAGAAGAGGAAGGCAGAGAGCAGCCCGCCTGTCCGGCTTGCTGGCTTCTCCGCCCTGGCAGGGCCCTGGGGGTCCCGACCCCTGGCCCGTCCTGGCGCCTGCCCCGCACAGAGCCCCACGCTTGCTCCCTCCCTCCTGCAGGAGTGATCGCGGCCGTGGCCTTCGTGCTGATCTGCCTCCTCCTCCTCATGCTGCACTACCTGTACCGGCACCAGGGCACCTACCACACCAACGAGGCCAAGGGCACCGAGTTTGCCGAGAGCGCAGACGCAGCCCTGCAGGACGACCCCTCCCTCCAGGACCATGGTGACAGCAGCAAGAAGGAGTACTTCATCTGAGGGACTTGACCAGGACTCACATCCCCCGGTGTCTCCTCCTCCTCCGACCCCAGCACCCGCCCCACCTGCAGCACCAGGCAGCCCGCGGGCACCCACCACACCCTAAGACATGCATCTCGCCTGGGACATTGGGTGCCACCCAGGGGAGTGGGGAGGGAGGGAACCCAAGGATGTTCTGGCCACCCTGGAGGCCGGTCCTGGCTCTGCGGGGGGAGGAGGTCTGGGTCCTCCCAGGCAGCACAGGTGGTCACCGGCATGTGTGAAAGTCCTCACTGGGTGTGAGCTGTGGGGGGCCAAGGGGCAGGGGGGTGAGGAAGTGAGTCATCAGGACGCCAACTGGGGATAATGGCATCCCATCCTTGTCATCTGGGAGACAGCAGCTGCTGGAGCTAAAAGGCACCTTTGTCTCCCCCTGATGGGACTCTGAGTGATTGGAAATAAATCTGAAATGTAATGGAGACTTCAGAGTCAGCGGCATTTCTGTGATCATCTGGGGAAGATAAAAGCCACCAGGATTTACTCCCCACCCACCTATGCACCCCAAAGTGATTTTGTGACCACGTGCCCAGTGTTAGGACGGCCACCACCAGCTCCACTGGGCAGTGTTCAGACAGCCAGACGGCTCCTGGGAGGGAGAGAGGGACAAGTAACCAGCATGCGTCTTCCCACACAAGGACAGCCTCAGGAAACAAATGTACAGGTGCAGGGTCCCTCTAGAAACAGATAGTCCCAACCCCCTGGGCACTGGCCACTGGCTGAAGTGTTGATTCCCAAATGCCTGATATTAGAAAGAATGGATCTGTTTTTAACAGTATGAGTGAACTCCGTCAGAAAAGGGTTCCCAAGCCCAGTTCCAACTTGGGTGTGGAGGCATCGCCACATCAACAAGCAATTAAACCCAGTTCTGACCCTATGTTCCCAGAAATGGGATCAGATTCCACAGGTAAAGGGCTCAGTCCCATGGGACCACCCTCCACTTCGAACATCAGACACAGCCCAGGTTATCACATATGCTTCTGACCAACCAGCTACAAACTGGAGGTTCCAAGGAACCCCTTCCTGGGTTCGATTAATTTGCTAGTGTTACTGAATTCAGGTTTGCCTGCTGGCTGCTCAAAAGCTAATAACTCAAGAGGCAAGTGTTAGCAGAAAGGAAAAATGGTTTAATCAGACAAGCCAACAATCTGGGGAGAAGGTGGACTCACATCCAGAGACCAACCCCCAAGATTCTGCTCAGTCATGGCAGTTTTTAAAGGGAAAAAGGGGGAGAGTCTGAGTGAATCATCGGGGCAGAAGGTTGGGTTCTGCCTCATCTCCATTGTGTGCAGACTGGCTGACTCTCTCTTCAGAGGTTATCCTGCCCACGCGATCTGCTTGCAGGACTGCTAAGGGGCCACTGGGGGTCAAGAGCTAGTCATTCTTTAACTGCTTGATTCTTCGTTCTCCTTTCTTTTTATCAAGGAAAATAATCAACACTTTAGGCGAGGTATGGTGTGCGTTCAGGAGACATAAGTCAGGAGGTAGTTTCAATTGCCTAATGATCTTGTTCCTATAATTAGGTCCTTTCGAGGTTAGGGGGGAACAGGAAAGGGGCAAAACAGCTGCTTTCACTAGAAGGGCTCAGAGAACCCAAGAGACCCGACTGACTCACTAGATCACCGATTTATTATAAAAAGACAGTAAAGGAAAGGGATTGACAGCCAGAGGAAGGCGGGCACAGGGCGAGGTCCTGGACAGTGGGCCCAGCACTGCGGCACACAGAAGCATTCCGGTTCCCTCTGCAAGGAAGCTGTCTGAAAAAGTGCCAAAAGCTGTCCCTTCGAGTTTCTGTGGAGGCTTCAGTACATAGTCATGACTGGCTAAATGATTGGTCAATGGTGACTGACATAACCTCCAAACCCTCCCTGGAAATCAGGATGGGGAACTGAAAGTAACAAACCCTTGGTCCTGTTTGGTTTTCCAGGCAACCAGCCTCCAACGTTAGGTGCTTCCAAAAGTCTTTTCATTCAAATAAAAAAAGACACATTTATGATTCTCAACACTTAGAATATTCCAAGGGTTTTGGGAGTCATGCGCCAGGAACTGTGGACTGAAGACCCAATATATAGGAGAAATATATTTTGGTCATCTGAGTGATCAAATGTATGTTTCTTACAAATCACACATCAGATTGCACCATCCTTCCCATGGGGACGGTTAGTGACCATGGCCATAGAGGTTGGAGTGCAGACTACAGAGCCCCACTCCCTGGATTTGGGCCCCAGTCCCCCCTTTCCTGGTCCTGTGACCTTGGGCAACTCACTTGACCTCTCTGACCTCTGGCCTCAATGTCTTGGTCCCTCAAATGGACATGGCTCGATGGTACCAACTCAAAGTGTCCATGGCAGAAACACACATGTCAAGGGCTCAGCCCTGTCTTCCAATGTTGATGATCATCCTCTTTCAGGAGAGCCTTTAGAAAACTCCCAGCAGCTCAGCAATTGCCCATTTGGAGACCAGCAGCTCCAAGATTAAAGACTGAAGCCCCGGCTCCCGGGAACCCCCAGGACTCAAGGTTCTGGAGGCTGTGACATCTCCACCAGGGCATCGGCAAAAGGGTCTCCATGACTCTCCTTAGGGGAACAACAGGACCCAAGTTCAGGCAGGAGTGACCACCGGCTCAAGGAGCTGGACATCACAAGGCTGTGATGGGGGGAGAGAAACAGAGGGAAGGAAAGACACTGGAGGTGGAAGAGACTTGTTCGGAAGCTGAGGCCTTCCCCTGGGTGACCCACGCTTGCTGGTCCTCCGTGTTTTCATCCAGAAAATAAAGGGTTTGGCTACATCCGTGTTCCCAGATGCTGTAGAACACCAGCTTGGCAAAATGATGATAAATAGCGCAAACAAAAATGATGTCCCGTGTGCAAGTAAGTTTGGAAAATGGCTTCCTCAGGGAAGTGAAACCAGTCCAAGTGTTCCCAGCATCTGCAGGGCCCCACTGTGTGCATGGCAGCCAGGGGGACTCTGGCAGCCCTTCCCAAATGCATTTAGCTGGAGTCCCCATTTCTTCCCAAAACACCTGTGACAGACAAGTGGGTCCAGAGTTCCGTGGACCACATTTGGGAGACACAAAACAACTTCTCACATTCCTTTCTGTTGTGCCGTCACTTCAGGTTGTTGAGAATATGTGAGCCTATGGCCCCGCCTTCAAGGAGAGTGAACCCAGATCATTGTCTAGGGACACAGAAGGAAACACTCAGAACCCACACACAGACATGCTGTCCTTTAAAAAAGGTTCCAGAGAGCACAGTCAGTTGCAATGGGTCAATTTCTGCACAATGTCCCAGTCATGCATATACATACATATATTCATTTTCAAATTATTTTTCATTAAAGGTTATTACAAGATATTGAATATAGTTATTGACACATTGTAACTGACTGTACTTCAATAAAAAAATAAATTCGTTTTTAAATTTGGATGTTTACCAGTGATTAAAAAAAAAGAAGGCTGCAGGAAGAGGATGAGCCCCTGGGCCTCCCTGAGGGTGGTGCCCGTTGTGGAGGAGAGATGTGGCCAGCCCTCTTTACCCCCTTCCTCCGTCGGCTTCTCCCTCCCTCTGCAGATCCAGGACCATCTGTACTGACTGAGGTCTCAGAACTGGCCCATGGGAGCTGGGCTCCAGCCCCTCCCTCCCTCCCTCACCTCCCCTCGGCCATTTCTCCTGGCCCACCCAGTGTGCAGGAAAACTGTATGGAAGCACAGCCAGACCCCCAGCCCCCAGGTGGAGAAGACAAGCGTGTAAGTATACATGGCCCTAAAGTGTTACAGATGCTGTGAAAGAAATGATACAGAGGGGAGGGGATCACTCAGTGATAGAGTGTTTGCTTAGCATGCACAAGGTCCTGGGTTCAATCCCCAGTACTTCCATTTCAAAAAAAACAAAAAACAAAAAAACAAAAAAATTTTAAAAAAAGAAAGTGATACAGATAATGTGGAACCCAAGCAGGGAGGGGCCAGTCCCACCTGAGGGTGGCAGGGGCTTAGGAAAGGCTTCAGAGGGGAAGGGAGGCTCGGGTCAGTAGCACAGGAGAAGAGGGCTGGACCAGTGAGTGTCTTGGGCCCTAGTCTAAGAATTTTGGCCTTTGTCCCTTGGGCAATTGGCAGCCACTGAAGGAATAGGTCAGCCTCCATCATAAGGATGTGGCTGTGATCCAGTTCGGTGGGACACAAGGTAACAGTGAGCAGTGGAAATGCACAGGGTCTGCACGCGGCCCGGGGGCTGACACATCTCTCGCCCGGAACTCACCCATCACTCCAGCTACCCCGCTGTGCAGTTTGGATGTCACATGACGCATCCCACCCTGCTCGGTGGGAAACACATCCCATCCACTCACTAGAAGAAAGGGCATCAGGTCAGGGCTTTGAGCCAACTGCTATGGAAATATTAGAGAATTTTCTTCAGTGGCAGGAACTCGTGATGGTTTTATCTTGTTTATGTTCCTTTGGAGGAGAGGCTGTTCCATTGTTTGCCATTCCTTGCTGAGCATTTTTATCCCTGTGGCAATGGGGGTGATTTAGGGGCCAACAGGATTTTAACTGGCCCAGTGCCACCTTGGACCTATGGGCACATTAGTGTTGGCAATTCACGTGTTACAGAGAGAGAGTCATTCTGGAATCAGACTGAGTTGAACAAAAATCTCCCCTCTGCGCTGTGACCCAGGAAGAGTTATTTAACTTCTCTGGTTCAGATCTAACAAACAAAATGGAGATTAAACTATTTGAATTTTAGGATGTTTTGAATGTAAAATTCAAGAGGGAGATAAGCTTGTCGAGCACTGTGAAGTCTCTGAGATTGTCCCCGCTTTCAAGTTAACAAATCAGCCTGTAACACTTCCGAGGGTGCGGACAGAAGGCGCAGGGCACCTCGGTCAGAGGTCGAGGGTTTCAGAGATCACCCACAGCACAGCGAGGACATGAACCCCAGTCCTCTTTGTCCTCAGGTCCCACGGGGCAGTGTGGATGGCCCCAGGCAGCTGCGTGCCCACACAGCGGGTTAAGTTCCGGGAGGGAAGGGCTGGGCTCGGGAAAGCTGGGTCTCTTATAAGGGGCATGCCCGCCCTCGGCTCTGGAGGGAGGCACAATCCCCGTCTTCCAAGGCTGCTTGTCGGACACACATCCTTGAAAAAGGAAGTCCAGAACAAAGGGCAGCCGGTGCCTCACTCATAAGATGTGAGGGATACAGGAGACCCAAGAAGAACCGTCTCTGAACAAGGCAGGCGCTGCCAGACACAGTGCCTGGGACCGTGAGCGCTCAGTCAACACCTGCACACACGCGAAACCCGAGCGCCGAGCCGAGTACCTGTGTGCCCACCTGCTCACCTGCAACTCAGGAAGCATCTTTGCTCCGTGAGGCACATGAGGGGGTTTCAAGCTGAAGACTTTTCTGCATCTGTTTGCTAGTGATTGAGCAAGACAGT